GAGACTCCCAGACAGTAACCCAGCATAGAACTGGGAAAATGAACAGCAGACCCCAATCTTATCTAAAGGAATATTGGCTACAGATTGCTGCTAGATGAGGAATAGCTGATCTTCCTAAAACAAGGAATTCTAGATAGGTTGACTAGACCCAGCAGGTGGACAAGCACTGGGGAACGGCTGGGGCACCAACCACACAGTTGACAGTAACAGGGATGACAGGGTATATGGGCTCCAGTGGGGGTGTGGGGCTATGGGAGTGTGCCATTTGGGAATGTGGGTATATAGAGGAATAAGATTATTTGTGATGTTCTGTATGAAATACACACAAAAAAATCAACAAATAAAAAAATGAGTTATATTTGAGGAAGAAGCATAAAAATTTGCTTCATGTTAATTAGTAGATGCGAAAAACATTACCACTGAAATCTACCTAATGACTTTATATCCATGCTCAGGTGCCAAGGATCTTAGAAAGTAACCGATTGTGACTAGTAATAATCAAATATATAGAGATTAAAGATACATGTGCAAACATCTAATTGTTAGTAGCATTAAAAATGGGGATCTTTTTTTATTAAAAGCTCATTCAATTTTATGTCTTATAGGGTTTATACTGAGTTCAATATTGTATAACTATTAATTCAACTGTGAACCTAAAAATTTATAGCCAATTTTGAAAGAGATACAACTTAGCTCTGGAAGTTGTTGTTGAATATGTTAATGCTGTAATGAAATGCTTTTTCTAATCATGTGGTTATTAAATTAATAATTTTTTAAAAATACCTAGAAATTACTAAGTAAACTATAAGTGCTTGCTTGCTTTAAGTGATCTGCATGGCAGTACTCATTATTGAATAATTCATTGGATGTATTTAAGGGAATATCGCTCATAAAAAATAGGCAAGCTTTAGTTAAACTGGGCTATGTGCTCCCTCACTTTATACTGTGTGGAAGCCTGGCATTGGAGGCCTGCATGGAGGTGAAGTCTACTCATTCTAATGCAAGTCTTTCCCTTGACACACAATACATGAATGATGTTTTTTAGTTAACAGCAAAAAAGAACTAAAAATTCTGACCCCAGAGTCATCTCAACATCTAGGGAGCAGTCTGTGGATCTTTCTAATAATGCTAATTAAACAAGTATGACTAGGCAGACCATACCAACCAAAGACTGAAAATAAGTAAATAAATTTGACCATACAATCTACTTGCATTATTATTTTATGTTTATAATTTTCAAATTATAGCATCAAAAGAGCTAGCTAAATACTGATTGTTAGCTAAGTAGAACAGTTGGGAACTCAGGAATCCGATAATAAAAATTTGATGTGTTGCCGGGCATGGTGGCACACACCTTTAATCCCAGCATTTGGGAAACAGAGGCAGGTGGATCTCTGTGAGTTTGAGGCCAGCCTGGCCTCCATTAGCGAATCCAGGCCAGTTGCGGCTACAGGGAGACCTTGTCTCAAAAAGATCCCCCCCAAGAAAAAAAATTTACTGATGTATTACTTTTAGAATCAGAAATATTTTTAAATGCCTAAATAATAATACACATAGTTTGCATATAGATATAAGCAAGGATTCTATTTCTCTAATCAATGACACAGGGTAAAAGAAGGGATCAACCAATAAAGAAAAAGGATATAGCCAGGCGTGGTGATGTGTGCTTTAATTCCAACTCTGAGACAGAGGCAAGCAGGTCTCTGTGAAATAGAGGCCAGGCTGATTTATGTAGCAAGTTCCAAGCCAGCTGCTGCTATGGGGAGACCCTGTCCCCAAGAAAAAAACAAACCAAAAAGAGGAAAAAGAAACAAAGGAAAAAGGAACCATGCAGGCTTAGACATGCAAATTTGTCTGGTCATTATAGAAATCAGTAATGAGATTCCACAAAAAACTAAAAATAGAACTGCATTCTTATATAGCTGTACTACTGCTAAAACCATACTCCAAAGAATAGAAGTCAGATTTCTGTAGATACCCACAGATTCATGATTATTACAGCACTGTTAGCAATAGCGAAGTTATAGAATCAGCTTGGGCATCCATAAATGAGCAAATGAATAAAGAAATATTGTATATGTGCATAATAGAATTTTACTAATCCATAAGGAGGAGCAGGAGGGCGGGGGGAGAGACCTCATATTCAGGAAAATGGGTAAAATTTGAGGTATCATGTTAAGTGAACTAAGCTATATGCACAAAGTCAAGTAAACCATATTTTCAGTCATATGTGGAAATTAGAAGGGCAAAGAAGACCCAGAAGAAAGGGAAAAGAGGTGTAAAAGAAGGGATAGCACAGAGGGTAGATGTGATCAAAGTGCAGTATTTGATGTAGGGAAATGTCATGATAGAATCCATTATGAATTAATTAACTTTATACAATTTATATCCGGTAATAAAACAATTGTACAGACTACAAATATATTACGGAAATTTGAAAAACAATTCAAAACATTTACCAGCTATGTCACCGTTATGATCACTGAAGGGAGGCGAGGGGCCAGTCATCCCACTGCTTCTTGTCCAACCAGGCTGCAGACTCTGATCCTGCTTCAAACTGCAGAGTCCATCCTCAAAGTCACATCTTTCATAATTCAGGCCTAATGAGCGATGAAAAGAAATTACCTTTTATAACTTAACTTGTCTTTGTGCTAAATAACACAATGTCAGAAAAAAGATTAACAACGAAAGGATTGTTTTTCATAGTTTTAAGTCTTTGAATGCAAAGATTTTTGCACGTGACATTCTAAAAGATGCCAGCACAAAGACATAGAGTGTTCAAAGGTGTGCTCTCTGGAGCCAGAGGTCTCGGGACCTATTCTGGATTTGACCTCCCATTTACAGAGTGATTTAACTAAACCATCCAGCCACACTGAGCCTTTTCCATTGTAAGATTAAACTACCATCCTGCCCAGCCAACCTCAAATAACTAGTATAAAGATCTAATACCATGAAGCATATAAAAATACTTTACAACTCTCAGGTACCATGTAACATAAGAGAATACATTACATTCACATTTTCAACTAAATCTTGATCTTCCTTCTACCCAATGACGTACGAATCTCAGGTTTTGAAAGAACAATCATGAAAGTCAACCATCTGTGGGATATGTGCTTAGAGTTAAGCACAGTACCTCTCTGCTGAATCCAAGCTTGGTATAAATACTGGTGCTTCTATCCTGATGGGACATTTCTGGATCCCCTCCCAACGACCTACACTTTAATACAACAATATTAAAAGCTTGGGAGAAGCAGAAGGATTTGAGCACTTGATTCTTCTTAGAAACCAATGAGTCATTTTTATTTATTCTTTTATCCAATATCTGAAAATGTCACATTTCAAAAGTAAACACTCTCAACTGTAAATAGCCCTCCCAAGGTTGTAAGGCTTAACAATAACTCAATTTTGACAACTAAATACTCTCAAACATCCATGCCCTGTGTTATAAACCTTTACACTCTAAAGACTGTTCTTCGGCGAGTACCATTCTTCTCTAGTTACTTAATGCTGGTTAGTAGTTGGACAGGGAGCTCAGTCACAAAAGCATGATTTTTATGTAATCACTTTTCCAGACAAAAATATGATTTAGTTAACCCATATATCTAGTGGATTTTCTTGATATCTTCCATGAGAAATAAAAGCTAATATAAGAAAGTCTTTTTAAAAAAAAAAAAAAAACCAATACTCCATTTTGTTAATTTTCCTCCTAATTTCCTTTTTTTTTTTTTGAAAGGTTTAGCTAAAGTCCTGTGTTCTGGAAGACTAACATCACAGCTATAGCTTATTGCATTGATTTGTTCATATATTTCTCTTAATTGGGCATTTTCTTCCATTTTAAAGATAAGGAACCTGAGACAATGCCTTCTGGATATTAAGCAACAGCAGGATAGCTATTCAGTGTTGGGTCAAGACTGGAAACCCCTAGTTTCCAGAGCTAAAGCCCTTAAAACTTCTCTGAGGTCCAGTTAAGTTCCTGCCCTGTTTTATCACATTTACAGAATTAAAGACCACAGATTCCAGCCAACCTAAGGAAACCTGTGTTTATAGATAGTTGACATCATTCTATCTAAAAGGTAAAAATTATATTAATCTATGAATTATGCCAAGGTAAATTCACAGAGTCTTGAGGCTTTTAAAATATTTACAGAAGGAATCTGGTTGACAAACAATGAACTAAATTATACTCACTTGTACATATGCATAACCATATATCACATGCCAGATCTGAGGGGACGTACAACATGGCTATTTCACAGTAGATGGACAAGAGACTATACCATCTTGTTTCATGTAACCATATGCTATGGCATTCAGAGAACACTGGAATCACCTAAAAGTACATTTCTCAGAATATATCTTTGTCATGAAGCAATGCATAACTATGTGTATATGTGGTTACATAAATATGTATTCATTTCCAAGCTTTATTTTAGTTTCCAAAAATTTTTCACAATGACACATAATTTAAAAAACTGTTCTTTTAACAGCTGAAGAGATGGCTCAGTAGTTAAGAGCACTGACTGCTCTTGCAGAAGATTCAGGTTCGATTCCCAGCACCCACATGGCAGTTAACAACCGTTTGTAACTCCAGTTCCAGGGGATCCAATGCCTTCTTCTGACCTCTGCAGGCATTGCAAGACATGGGTGCACTTACACACATGCAGGCAATACATTCAAACACATAAAATTTTTTAAAATGTTCTTTTGCATCCATATTTCAATGATCATGTTTAAATGGGAACACACAGAGCTGAAAAACATTTTTGAATGCCAAGAAATTGCCTTCAATACAATTGCATAGTTGATGTCTGTTCACAATGTTCTTTGTTCTTTTTAATACAGGGGTAATGATGACTTCAGGATGTGTTAAAACTAGAGAGAGAAAAATGACTAAATAGAACATCTCTTCCATTTGAATAGTCTCAGCAGGATTCTTTTTGTTATAAAATGAATTTAATCTGCACACACTTTCAGTTAATTTTGTTTGAAAAAGCAATCATGAACTACTGGATTATTCCAAAGGCATAAGAAAATTTTCTAAGTATTCATCTTTCCATCAATATAGATTTGCACATTTTAAACCATTTTTGTAAATTTCCTACAATTATGGCTGCTTCACTTCTTAATTTAATATGCTGCTTGCCCGCATTCAAATCTGAAGCTATTTGCTGTAATAAAATCTGACACCACATGGATTGCTGCTAATACAGCTATCAGTATATTGTGTGGATTAAATTACACCTGGACAACATAATGAGGAAAGAGGTACACAGGCATCTAGAATTCTTGTGCTTTTTCAACTTATGAAACTCATAATTTAGCTTCCAATTTTATTGCTTCTCAGGTCAAACCTACTCTAGGAAACGGAGGGTCCATGTTGTGTTTTGAAGGTTACTTGGAAGTCATAATTATCTACTGAATTGGCTTCTGTAGTACCAGATTCACTTATTAAGGAATTTCTGAAGAAATCTCTCATAGTCTTTTAAAACGAAATAGAAACATACCAAATTATATCCAAGGAACAGCTTTGACCACGCTTCTGAGCAAGTGGGAAGGAATAGAATTTTAATTGTGATAACAGTGAGGAAAGTCAGATAACCGGCACTCAGGATGAACTCAGGAAAGCATGGCCTGGCTTAACCATTAAAATGTAATGTTCTCAGAAAACAGAGCACACTGTAAGAATGAGGGAAATCTAGCAAGGAAGGAGGTAAGGTAAAAAGCATTAAAGAATCAGTCATTTTATAACTTTTCCTGAACTCAGGTCACCAATACACATTTTTCTTCCTCTTACAAGCTGTTTGAGGCACAATTGTAGTCTTTCAATAGTAATCCTACCCTGTTTTTACTGTGGTACGATGCACATTGCACAAAACGTAGCGTTTAGCCATTTTTAACTGTGCGAATCTGTGGTATTTATATTTCCACTATCGTTGCCATATGTTTGAGAATGCCATACTGAAGCTGTAGAAGCCTGCCACACATTCCTGGAGCTACCGTCCTACATTCTATCTCTAAATTTCATGACTCCATGTGTGTCAAAGCAGGCAGTCTTAGTGTTTGTTCTTTTATGACCAGCTCATTTCACTGAGCATGTCTTCAAGGTTGACCTGTAGCCTGTGGATCCCTTTCATGAGACTGAACATCACTGTGATAAAGAATTCACCACACACACATACACGCATGCACACACACACACACACACACACACCAATCATATATACATATACACATACCACAACCACATACATACAACACAAACTCACATTCACACCACAAACACACGAAACACACACACTGCATATACACACCACACACACCACAACCACACATACACACCACAAACACATGTACATACCACGAACATACCCCAACACACACACCAAACATATACATATACACATATACACAATACCACAATCACATGTACACAGCACAATCACACATTCACACTACACACATATACAGCACATACACACCACAAATACACATACACACCTACACATATACGCACATACATAAACAACACAAACACATATACACACCACAAACACACACACATTTTATATTTTGTTTATCCAGTCATCTGTCAAAAGACGTGATTTTCAGCTTTGGGTCATTGTGTATAATGGGTGAACAGACACCAGTTAGACTTCTCATTTTCATTTCTTTTGGGTATATGCCCAAACACATTTGGGGGGGGGTCTCAAAAAATCACCGCATGACCCAAAGTATTTTGGCAAAGTAAAAAGTATTCTTTCTGCAGAAGAACGCATAGCTTCTCTAAATCCAGCAAGCAAGCATACCCACAGCAGTCCCCTGGACTTTTATTCCTAACACAAAGGGGTCCCGTGCTTCACTTTGAATGGCCAGAGCACGATCTCACATTCTTACACAACTGGCTCACACAAAGTGACTCAGTTGATGGGCAGAATCCTGCTTTCAGCACCAATTGGAACCTCGAACATATATTTTGATTTCTGGAAGTGTTGACCTTGGAAAAATTTGAATTTCAGCCAGGTACCTTCTTTGCAGTTTTTTACATGCAGTTTTGTCTTAACTCATTGACAGAAAAGACAGTGCACTTTTTTTTCACATTTCCCATACTCAGAAATATTTTCCCAATGTATTTCTATTAAATTTTTGTGCATTTCATACAAAATACATCTTTTAAAATTTTTATTATTTTTATTTTATGTGTATGAGTGTTATGCCTGCATGTAAGTAAGTGCACCCATGTCATGCAATGCCCGCAGAGAACAGAAGAGGCTGTTTGATCCCCTGGAACTGGAGTTACAGACAGTTGTTAGCTGCCATGTGGGTGCTGGGATTTGAACCTGGGTGTTCTGCGAGAACAGTGTTCTTAACTGCTAAGCTATCTCTCCAGCCCCACAAAATACATCTTAATCATATTTAGACCCCCTCTGATTCTCTAGTCATGTGGCAATTCTAAGTTCTACATTGTTTAGAACTATCGCCATCTCTCTCTGACTGTATCTGTAACAACACCTATCCTCATAACAAAACCATGTGTCCTGGAGTTCCCACGCTGGTACTAACATCTGTTATTTTCTTAAAAGTTTTGATAGCAGTCACT